GTGGCTACACTAACATCATATTACCACCATGGACCAGGACTAGAGTTATCATCGGAGAAGTGCTCACTGGTTGCCTTCACATGTGCGATGTCATGGGCCTATATGTCAATAAAGACAGTGGACTCTCTATCAGCTGTGATAAGACCCACTGCTTTTTGGGAGTAATAATAGGCCACGACTTGTTCGGTATATTCAAATCACCTGTATTAAAAGGAACCTCACAATCACCTCCCATGGGCTAAACTTTCTTGCGGGAAAATCGTGCATCTGTATGAGTGACACTGGAACTTTAGCTTTTCTGTTCCTCGATTTCATGCACTGCAGCATACCTGTGCTATGCAGGACCCAAAGAATAAGCATGCATGTCCTCTAGTTGCTTCAAGCTGAAGCACTGAGAATATTCCTTGGCCTTTCAAGATGCGAATCTTAGCAGCGACTGTGCTCATTGCGCCTGATCAAACTATCACAACATACGTTCGCGTCAATACTTCCAAGAAGTTCTGACACAAATTTTAGACATTTTTATAATATTGCTTAACATATATTGATGTTGGTATCCTTAAAAAGGGTATTGTGGTGCCTTAGAGTGCATGGAATTATTTTTTATATCACTGCATTAATAAAATGACTTTTGGTTTTGATATTGATGGTGCAGTCTCACGGTGATGTGTCAACACAGTATGATGTAGGACAAAGTAAAATGGCAAAAGCAAGTCATGATGTCCTAGCATCAGCTCTGTCATCTGCTGTCAGTTGCACTTGGTGCACGTAAACAATGATGAGGGCCTTGCTGTCCAGCGACACCAATAGTGATTCCGACATAGATTTCGGCTCCATGCAGGACGAAGAGTTCTCAAACCCTGGGAACTGTGCTGACTCTTTATGACAATGTTCATTGCAGTTAGGCTGACATGCAGATAATGGGCAGCAAAAACTTTAAATTCAAACTAAAACATTTATACGAATTTTCTAGTTTGCACCACGACCATTTACTCATTATTGGCAGGCCGTACCTTGCGGCGTGAGAGGTGATAAAATCTGCGACCTCATTTGATGTTTAAGCCTTATGTTTAAGCCGGATGTTTGAGCCTGATGCGATGCTCGTGATCGCGTTCTGCATTTCCACTATGCGGGGATCGGCGTTAGTCCGTGAAAATATAGCTTGAAGGCAATCTGTGTACATGTGGACGTATTGAGCAGTGGGGTGATCTCTTAGCCAATTTAGCACCTCTGCAAGAGCCACAGCCTCTGTACAGAATGCACTCGTAGCTCTTGATACCGAAAATCTCCCCACTGCCACAACAGGACTTTATATCGCAGAAGAAAGCTGTGAAGGCGCTCCTACGCTTCTCGCGTTCAACCGGCCTCTCCAACCGACTGTGATCGGAATGCCCTGCATGTGTGTGCATGTGAAGTGCATGTGAATTTTTTTTTCTAGTTTATTTTACATCTCTTTATCTATATCCTCTTTCAGACCCTTATTTCCCGACCCCTGTACAGGGTAGCAAACCAGTTTCTTCTAGCTTAACCTCCGTGTCTTTTCTTTTTATTTATTTCTGTCTCTCTCCTGGTTCCAATGTGTGGAGAGTGTTGACAGTGCATTGCTATGAAATGAAAAATGTCCATTTTGTGAAGCCTCCAAATTGTGTCGGCACTTCTGTCAGACGTTTCACTCAGATTTCATGTCAGCACTTTGATTCTCTCTCTCTCTCTACTTCTAGGCTGCACTGTGAACTTAGCAATATAATGGGTGCTCATCATGGAGTTCTAACATTAAACTTCGTGCCTGCAGTAACACCACCACTACTGCTATTGGGCTTACATCTCTTTGAAGCCCTCCTATTCATTCCTAGAACTAGAAAAAAAAAAGTTGTCATATTTAACCCTGGAAGAAACCATGCTTCTGTGCTGTTTAAGAAACAGTATACACATTCACGTTTACGTGGATGACTCAATTTCCTCTCCAAGCTCAGCAGAGGCAGTGATTATGCCTGCAAAGTCTATTGCCATAAAATTCAAGACATCACATTTCATATCTTCTGTACAACCTGCCATTCTCCATTCTGCTCCAGAGTTCGTGAACCTTCACAAGCATGATCAATCATCTCTAACTCCAAGGCAGCTTTCGTTATTGATGTATGTGGGGTTTAACATCCCTAAACCACCATATGATTATGAGAGACGCTGTAGTGGAGGACTCCAGAAATTTTAACCACTTGGAGTTTTTTAACGTGCACCCAAATCTGGGCACATGGGCCTACAGCATTTTCGCCTCCATCAAAAATGCAGCCGGGATTCGATCCCATGACCTGCGGCTCAGCAGCCGAGTACCTTAGCCACTAGACCACCACGCTAGGCAAGGCAGCTTTCTTATGTCGGTATTTTCTTATGAACCTAATGATCCATTAGTTCCTGTTGTCAGACTTATTTACTACCATGCAATCTGGAAAAACCACATAGTACTGAAAAACAAGTAGTACTGTATTATTGCAGTATCTATGGTAAAAACTGTGCAAATGAGGCTGCCCGGTCTGCCCATGATGGTGTCCACCCTACAGTTATACCATTATTGAAAACCAATAAACCTAGGCTTTTTTCTCTGGCATCTTAACTCAAACTTCTTCAGTGACACTTGGCAGAATTTTATAACGCTAGTCTACAGAGCTTGGATACCGATTTCCAGCTCTTTTTTTTCCTCCATCTCTTTTTTTCAACAGTAGTACCTCAGGCTGTCGTGACGCTTCTGTGCCACCTGGGGCTTGGTGTGCCCCTCGTGAATGCCTTCTTTTTTCTGACTGGAATGGCCAACAACCCTACGTGTGATAACTTAAGAGTACTGAACACTGGGCGAGTTGGTGATTCATAACTACAAAACTGCACAAAAAAGCGACAAGATACAGAGAAGGCGCTTGTGTGTGTGCCTTCTCTGTTTCTTGTCACTGTTTCGCACAGTTTTGTAGTTATGTGATAACTGTAGCTGCAAAGAAATGATAGTTCACATCTGCAAGTGGCTTTGTTTTAGTCTGCTCATGAAAGAACCTTCAATATGTTATACACACTTGATAATCACTCTTTGTCAAAGGAAAGGGCTCCGGTACTCTGTTCAAATCCATCCCCCGCTCAGTAGGCATTGAAAGCTTTGTTGTCCTTTTAAGTGCATAGCACATTAGGGCTGGCTTCTCATTTGTAGATCTCAGGTGGCGTGATCATTCTCACAATCAAGTGCTTAATACAGGCCAAAAACGTGGCTAGCAATCCTCAAATGGGGTTACAACAAAGAAACAAGGTTTAAAATAATATAAGTGACAGAAATAACCAAGAAGTAACTGCAATAATTAACTTCAAATCTTTAAAAATGATTCAATAAAGATGCGGCTGACACCCGAGGGTGTCATTGTCTCACCGAGCGAGCTATTGCTCCTCCCACCGATGCTTTGCCGGCGCTTCATCGCTGCATCCGAAGGAGGAAAACAACCTGATGAGACTCGCTGCAGACAACATGTATCTGAACTACCATAACAAGCAATAACTTTATTGATAAAGTTCAACAAAATGCAGTGTGTTGTCGCACACTGAGTTTGAAAATCTCCCCCAAAAGATTTTACTTGTGCCGTGGAAACTGTACATGCTTACCTCAAATACTAATGTCTTCGGCAATTTGATAAATGGAGCAGTGGAAACTTTGCGAACGGGAATCGCTGGCTGCCAGTACTAGGCACTTCGTCAGATTTCACAGTAGTGCAGCTGCATTTAGCGCAGGATTTAGAATTGCACCAACTGCTACGCAAGCTTTTCAAGGACATCTAGGCTTAGAGACAGGCTTTAAACAATGTTGCAATCTACTTCACTTTTTTCTGTTTTTTTTTATTTTGTCGTAGTGTCTTCTTTCTGTTCTTTGATTCCCCTTTCCCCGCCAGACTTTGAGTAAAATCATTCTCTTCTTCTGTTCTTTTGTGTTTTTTTTTCTACACACTGGTACCGCTTGAGCTCGGTGTTATTAGGATAAAATGTGGAAAATGTTCAGCTGGGAAGAGACTAACTTGCAATTGGAAATGGATCATACCTAGTGGGAAGTGGATTAATGTTCACTGGGAATTCGGCGAATTATAGTGAGACACTGGTGAATACTAACGAATACATCAGTGATGCCATTGCACACACCGACAATGCTCTACTATTTGCACATGCTTGTCTGAAAATTTCCCAAGAAAGCCAGGAACACCACTTCTGTTACTGTTAAATGCACTTTACACCTGAAGCTCTCGTTTTCCTTTGGTCACCCTCTCAAAAAGTTTTTTCAAGAGACTGTGCTCTTCTTACAGAGGCAAATGCTGTGTTGTTAATCACGTGGATGATGTGTGAAGTACAAAATTTTTTCTGCACTGCTAGCCTTGCTGTAGCTTTATCTGGTGTGACAACCAATGGCATGATGCACATCACTTATCTCAAACCCTACAACTCTCGACTCTTCAGAGAGATCAAATGACACCGTGATCATGCTTTTGCAATTGGATGCATTGTTATGATGCAACATACATTTTAATTACAGGCTAAGCAACAAATTTTTAAAAAAGTGTACGAAGTGGGATATCTGTGTTCAGAGTGCAAGCTGGTCTTAGTCTTGGGTCTCTGGATGTTCCATATATCGTTTCTCTTGTCTGTATGTCACATGTTCCAATATTATGAGTAAATGGTAAAACTGTTTTGTTTTTGCACATAAAAGCCAAATTATCTTGGCATAATTATTAGATAATAATCCAGAAATGAAGTGTTAAAATTAATGTGTGACATTTCAGTCAGCATTTGTTTTGTTAAAATGGTTGTGCTTAGTGTAAATTACTGCTTTTGCAAGATAGTCACTCTACTGCAACACTACTACTTATTGTTTTTTACCATGTATGACTGACCATTTATATTTAGCTTTTTTAGCATATGCAACATCATGCACAACCCACATAGAGCCAAGTGCAGTGAATTAAAATTTTTTATATCTTGTGCAGATGACTCATCATCAAAGCCAAGTAGGGAAGATGCAACATTCAAGGGTGGCGGTAATTGGGGCTGGTGTCGTTGGCCTTTCAACAGCCTTGTGCATCCAGAACAACATTCCTGGCACTTCTGTTACAGTCATTGCTGACCGTTTCATTCAAGACACACTGAGCTTTGGTGCTGCTGGCTTCTTTCGCCCAGATGAAAATATAGGGCCTACACTTGGCATTACAAGGTACTGCTCTTTATCTGGCCAATTACCATAGGCTCGTTATATCTTCATCAAATTAAACTTACACACTTACTCATTCAGCTTTACTTTTAAAGGGAAGCTCCTGCTATTTTTCTTGGTAATTCATTCAGCCTCTTTTACTGGTCAATTAGGTCATACTCTTCGAATGACTTCAGTGAGAGTTTTTATTGTTTACTCTAAAGGTCGGAATGTGCACTCCTAATATAAGCCATTTTACAGCTCAACATGGCATGAGCGCAAGATCAGCAGTGCTATTTACAGCATCATTTAAAGCTTCCTAAACAAGGTATATCGCTCTAATTGAATGACTGTGTTCTGTTTATCTGCTCCATGAAAATGTCAATGGCTGTATTGAGCAAGCCTCGCCACTTAACCTTCAGGGCAGTTTGAAATGAAGAGCTTTCTTTGACAAGCTTAGTGAGCCAAGTAGCTCCTAGCAGGTATGTGCTACAGATATTGGGCAAGCCCCACCACTCGCCTCTGGTCCGTCAAGCTTTATGAATTTGAAATTTTAAGCAGTTTCATTGACTTGACATCAAGAAGACGGGTAAACACTAAACAGTGCTGATGGTAGCAAAACTACTACTATAGAGCAAGGTCAAGCAATGAAATAACTATTATTTTATCAGCTCTACTTTTTAACCCTTTGTGGTTTGTTGGTGGGCTCTGACAACACAATGCAGTCACAGCAGTTTATGGTTGAGCAGTGCTGGACAAGTTCTTTTGTACCACGCATGTATTTTCTCACTAATTTTGTGCCATCTGAAAAAAGTAAGTAAACTTCTCTTACTTGGGCTTTGAGTCTTTCAGTTTCTGAGCAGAGTGGGTAGAAGGTGGAAAAAGGTTTTGGACCGCAAAGGTTTAACCAGTCTTCCTGACATTAGGTCTGTGATTGAGCATCTAACGTTATCACATTAAAACATTTAGCCATTCTAGTCATGATCTGAATTTTATTTTGACGAGGCTACATGCCATACCCACTCATGTAATAATAATGGACTCAACAGTCAGTTGTGCTCTTATGTAACTGATGATGCTATAGATGGCGGTAGTTTATTGTCCCTTAAAATGCTAATCCAGATTTACTTGCAGTCATAGGTTAGCAAAAAACTTGTAGCTCATTCAAACTCACAGGAAATATATTTTGCTCTTAGGGATCACTTGGCCTCAGGCTTGTTGAAGTTTTCCTCAACTAGACTCACTCAGTCACGGACTTGCTAAGCTTTTTCTGAACTGGTGCCCACATTACTTGGCTGGGCTCACTCATACTGACGGCTTAATCTGAGTATGTGTGAACTGGAGTGAGTTGACTCATGAGTGTATTAGAGCAAAATTAGCTTTTTCGTTACTGGTGTCAGTGCTGTTTAATGCCAATATCTTGCATATTGGGTACTCTACGTGCCGTCTTATGATCTGGTACCTTCAAATACAAGTTATTGGTGGTTCCAATTAAGCAAGAACATTTTTGTAAGAGATGCCATTGACACGAGATATTTGCATCAAAAATTTTCTGTGAAGCATTTTTGAGGGGAGGAGAAGGGGGGAGGCACTTCTCTTATAACTTGTGTCTCTGATCAAAATAAATATTGTGGTGGCATGTAAAGGCTAGTGCATTGAAATATATGTGAGTTTATGGGACTATAAACATGAGCCGATATGAGGCTGATAGTAATGCTGAGCATTAGTACCATAAGTTGGCAAAAAATGGGGCTTTCTCAGACTCGCTCCGGAAATATGTTTTATGCTTAGAGCTCGCTCGAACTTGGATTCACCAATATTTTCCTGAACCAGACTCACTCAAATACAGTGGCCTGATCTGAGCCTGAGTAAATAGACTCTTGAATGAGTTTGCAGATTTATGCTTGAACTGTGCTTGAGAGTACCACAGGGGTTGGTGTTAAGCCCACTAATATTTCTTGATTGTATCAATGATGTTGTTAGCTGTGTTGAGGAATTTGTAAGAGTGCAGTTATTTGCTGATGACCTGGTTGTGTATACCATTGTGTACAATAGTGATGATCACAACCTACTGAATGCTTTTTAAATGAAAATGCTCAATAGTGTGGTGAAACGTGTGATATAGAAATCAGAGCAAGTAAATCAGAGTGCATGAGTATTAGTCATAAGAAGTCGTTGATCACATTCTACTATAAAATAATAGGTCATAGCATCTGTTTATGGGTTATGATATACCATGAACAGCTGCTATAAAATGTTTTAAGTAAGCTAAAGTTGAAGGATCACATTGAGATAATATGTGCGAAGGCATTTAGAGCACTTAGATAATTACTAAGAAAGTTGGCTGGGACTCCTGCTTCCATGAAGCAAACAGCCAACAAAACTCTAGTGCATCCCATTCTTGAATATGGCAGTATTGATTGGAGCTCTTCTCACGTAAACATTACAGACAGATTGTAAAAAGTCCGAAATAAGGCACTACTGCTCATCTACTGAAAATTTTTTTGTGAGGATAGCATCAGTGCTCTTCGAAATGCAGCAGGAATTCTTTCACTTGCCTGTCGGCAGCAGGTGGCAACAACGAAGTTCCTTTTCATGTTTTATCATGACCCTATAATCATAGGTAAGCACGGGCTCAAAAAAACCAGCACATCATTATTCTTATAAAAAATGTCATGACAAACACACAAAGCAATATGTCACATGCTGTGATATTTTAAATGTTTACTTTTTCTGGCTTTTATTGAAATGTGAAATGCGTTGTTCCAGGAAATTATTGGCATAGATAGTGTAAGATATATCTGTAGAGCAAATGGAAGCATAATGACAGTGGCATAATGACAGTGGCATAATGACAGTAGCATAACCTTTTCTGCGTATAAGACTTGTGAAGTATTTGTTGTCTGTGTTTGTCACTACTAATGTAAAATTTAATTTATTGTACACTATATTTCTTTTTGCACCCTCAAATCCACTTCCTGTTATAACCATTGTAAGGCTGACAATATTTTTCAAATAAATTAATCATAAAACTTTTGTTGTGCATCAGGATGTCTGCAAATTGGGTGTGTTCGCTATTGTTGCACTTTCCTACACTTTTTTTACACTGTATGTTCATGCAGATGTCCACCATATGTCATTTGGAGTGTCTGGCAATGGACATCCATCCGATGCTATGTGGACATCTGTGGTGCATTAGAAAGCTTTTTTACATTACCTTTGAACTTCTTTTTTTTTATAAAAGCACAACAGATGCAGTCCAATTACTTGAAGATGACATAAGAGTTCCAGTCATCATCTTCATTGTGAAGATATAGGACAGACACGGGTTTTCCATTGTCCATTTCATTTTGCCCTTGCATAATTTTAGGGAGGGGGGTAAAAGTAATTTTAAAGGCAGTAGTCTTTCTTGGGATACTTTAATGCAGAAATTTGGCCTCTCTGTCTGTCTTTCTGTCTGTCACTCGAAATGATTCAGCCACCCAGCCAAAGTTTAGGCACTTCCTCAACGCTCAGCCATCTTGATCTGGTGGCTGCATTCATACTTGTGAATGTTGTGAATCAAAAAGCAAATACTATGCATATTTGAGGTGCAACATCAGTATGTAAGTATTAGGTGGTGTGTTTCTTTATAGAAAATACATGAATACAAAATTCTAAAGACCCTAGTGTTTATTACGCTCTGCTAAAACGATAAAATGCTGCCACCTACCACTGGCTCTGCATTCTACAGAAGCTTCTGTTTCCCGAAATTACTGCCATATGGCATCTATATCTCACGCCGCGCCTCCAGACAGAAGACTATAGTCTTTCAACGACATTTTCAGCGAAATAGGCAGATACTCTACCAGTTTTTTTTGTTATAGGTTAACCCTTCAGCAAGGCAGTCAACTTACTTAATGAAGACGACTACATTTAACACTTAAGGCCATGTTCTTGACTGATCAGTGATGACTTACAGGGACATTTAAGCTTTTGGATAGTGTAGCCTCTAGTTTTTGATGTGATGCCTCACAGGAGCAACAGATGTTTCATCCTTTGGCTTGCCCATTTCGTGGCTGCTGAAAATGAAATGACTGTAAGTGATTGACCCAATATGTGACTGCAGCTTACTGGTACTGTTAAATTGTTCTGGGTGGCTGCCTGTAGGGAGACCATGGGAGGTGCCTTTGAGGAGCATTTCTTATGTGTAATTTAATAGAAAATACAGAGAATTGGCTATGTGTTGTATAAATTGTGTCTTCTTTGATACTGGCCCTGCTATCAGTCTTGCTCTTACTTTTGGTACTTTCAGGGAGTGGTTCAGAGCAACGTTCAGACATTACGAGGGCCTGTTGAATGGTGATGCAGCTGAAACAGCTGGAATCAAGAGGCTTTTTGGCTACGCTATTAGTTCAAGCAACCCAGAGAAACTTGTGGTATGAACATTTGAAATGAGCAAAACTTAGCAGTGGCATAGTTTTTAGTATTCTTTGACAGCTAGATAAATGAAAGAAGAGGAATGGATCAAGAGCTCATTTTATTCATTAAAAACAATTTAATGGAACCAACGGACTGTGAAGTTGAGGAATTTATGGGGGATATTATTTGTAGTCTTTTACACGTATTGTAGTAATCATGATATAAATCTAAAGAAATAAAATGGGTGAAAATATAACTTGCTGCAGTTAAGGACCGAATCTCCAACCTTCGGATAATGCATCTGAAGCTCTACCAATTGAGCTACAGTGATGTTTGTCCTCTCATTTGCCTTTTTTGGGTATTTCTGTGCTTGTTTGAAGTTTGAAGTTCATTATTATTAGTAAAGTAACGATACATAAAATGAAGGAAACGTTTTACAGGCTAGCGTCACATAGTCCGAAGACTGTAGGGGGACCCACGATAAAAAAAAGTATGTTAAAAAATTGCAATGGCAAATGGCAAGACGAAATAGTATAAACAGAACAATGTTACATAACAGCGTATATAGCAAAACGAATAAAACATAGTAATAGATACAACTACAACTATACAAACACTGTATCACAAATCAAAAAGAATTACATAGAATAATTTATGATATTAGTAAATATAATTTCAAAGTTTTTTGAATGTGTGTAGGTTAGCTAAAGACCTTATAGTGGGTGGAATAGAGTTTCATATCGAAATGGCTGTGAATGACAATGATTTTATGCTGTAATTAGCACAACTCAGCGTAGTAGTAAACTTCCTTCTACTGCGAAGCGAGTGCAGTTAGTGTTTTTTAGCAAGTCACAGTTGATGAGATCGAAAGGTAGCCGACGGTTAATTATATTAAAAAATAAATAAGTACAATGAAATTCAAATAACTTACTAATACACAGAATATTATAATATTTAAGCAATAAAATAGCGTTAGAATGACGAGAGCTGAAAGTGATAATGCAGATAGCTTGATTTTGTATGTGTTGCATAGATAAGATGTAAGAATAATAAGTATTCTCCTAGGTATTTATGCCATAGTTAAAATGACTATGGATAAATGAAAAGTAGAGCAATAATAATTCATTAATAGAGAAGTATGGCCTAGCTTTAATCAATGTGCGAATATCAAAAGCAGCTTCTTCTTTAAGTCTCACAAGTGTAGACCAGAATTAAGGGTTATCTCTAGATGTAACGCCAAGAAAAGAAGCAGAATTGCAAGCATAGATAGTATTAGCACCCCATGTTACAGCAGCAGAAGTTAACAATTGTTTTTTAGATGTTCTGAAAACTATAAACTGAGTTTTATAGGGGTTTATAGTTAGGTCATTGTTGTTACAACATAAAGCCACATCATTCAGTACAGAATTTAGTTTGGATATTAAAGATAGAACTGTTTTGGCTTTACACGATACCTATTCATGCTGACAAAAAAAAGTGTTTGAAACTCACCATCATGGTTATGAGTGGTGCTGGCTAACACTCCCAGGTTGTTCTAGGCTGCACATTGAAAGCTTGGCATATTAAACTTAATGCCTTGTATGCTCAGCAGGATAACGAGGGAGAAAAGAGAAGGGCATTTCATGTTCCTCTAAAAGCAGGATTATTCGCTGTTCGATATGTATGAGAAGAAGGTAGAAACTATCAGTGTATTTGAGTGCACTCAGCTTTTATATACACAGTCATGGTGTAGCACCTGATTCGTACTCCAAGCTGGCTAGCTCTCATGCTTAGGTATACTCAGGGACTTTTGTTAAGAGATGCACCATAGCTTGAAGAATTGTCATCCTCCCTCCTCCAACTGCCGTTGGCACCCACCAAGAAAATAAATTACAAACTCGAGGTGCATGTGATGTTTGTTCTGTATGCATGGGCACTTCTGACCGGTTATTATAGTGGTGAGTAGGCTTGTGTGAATATTCGAATGCTTCGAACATTCGAACGAATAGTTGAGTATTTGAATTTGCTTTGATTTGAATTTCAATTATCGAATATTTTGGAACTATTCGCAATGTATGAATAGGTGTAGATTAATTCGCATGTCACTGCTTGTAAAAATGGTTTCACTGCAATGTAGAAGTGCTAAGCCGTGAAAGCATTTATCCAACAAAAATTCGTTTTGCCATGAAGCCCCCCTTCAAGTTATACGGGGCCCTGCAACACTTACTGAACATGGTCGGAAACGCTGCCGATCGGTAGTCGAGGCTACCGAGAACACCCAAGGCAAATAATACAGCGCAGCATGTGGCCTGTAATTCACAATAAATTTTCAAACTAACAATTGCTTTCTTCCCTTGGCAAATGACACTACAAACTCAAAAATCATTTGTCACAGCCAAGAAGGAATATATGACTCCAGTCACAGCCATTGGCTGATTTGAGCATGGAGCACTCATCATTACCGGGACCACCGCGGGAGGCCTCCGCTTGTCCACGAGTACGTGCGCGATAGCATTAAAAAACCACGTATTTGAAAGGGAAAAAAATGGTGCTTAAAGTCACGAGGTGCATGTGACATATATTTTTTTTCACCGTGCCATTCCTCCCTGCTTAACTTCCAGCTATTTCGTCGGGACGAGAAAAAAGAATGCAATTGCAGCGTGCAACAAATTTTGGAACTCTGCTCGTACTGGACTGATTCTAGAAACTTTGCGGTGGTAAATTTGTGAGGCAACAAGCATGTTTACTGGCTCCTAGGCTACTTGAAAAAGTGTTGCAGGGCCCCTTTAAAAGAACATGTTACCCTCAAATCAATTCATTTAATTAAGCTTGTTATGATGGCATATATGTGCCAAGTATAATAAATTTTAGAACGTTAAGTATCTTATAGATTATCACTCGCATCCTACTGAAACTACTACTAAAGGTTGTTTCGACTTTGTTTGAACGAAAAAAAAAAATAGCATTTGCATAGAGTCCCTATTTCAATTCAGAAGAAATATTGTGCAGGTTAGTTAGGTCATGATAAATATTCCTTTTTTTTATATGTCATACATATAATTCGATTCGAAATTATTCTATCAAAATCACTATTTGCTCCAAATTCGCTTCAATCCTAAAATTCACTATTCGCATAAGTCTAGTGGTCAGCTTTGCCTTTGAGATATTTTAATTTGGTGTAAAGTAAGCACAAGTGCTCATCTGGGTTGGTAGCTCTTTACAATATCACCACTAGTAGAGCATAAAGTGGGATTCATGTGATGTTCCAAGAGTAAAGTGAGCAGTATTAACATCACAGACAAGTTTGCAGGGTGTTCGCAAGATTGAAACTGACACTCCTCTGACCCTGTTAGTGGACTGCTCTTAAGGTGGTTCTGGCTGCTTATGCCAGCGGCTTTTGAAGTGCTGTAGCTATTCTTTTTTTTTCTGATGGTGCAGTGTGCTTGGCAGGGGACATGTGTTTCTCATGTCACTTTGAAGAATGTGCCTGATGCTTTGCATGCTAACTCGATACTTTAGCACCCACGTCTCATTTTTTTTCTGCATGCGAGGCGCAAATTTAGATAGTGTGCTCTCAATGTCACTCAAGGTTGAGCACACGTGATTTTATGGTCCCATTGTGGTGGATTTAGCGAGAAAACTGAACACCACGAGTTAAAAATAAAAAGAATTTTGCATACACAGACAAGTTTTGTACCGTAGCTTGACTATCTGTACTGCTTTTATCATTACTACATAACATTAATGAGAAGTAATAGACAATAATATTTAGGAAATAATATCTTTTTTGTATTATTGTTCATTAGTTTTAATTAGTATACTGTCTAATAAAGAATGAGCTCTTGAAATTATCATTTTTTCCTACATCACAGAAGAGAGAGACCATGCATAGATTTGTGACATAAAACTGTGGGCTTATTTTCAAGCAAATCGATGCATGCATATTATATGATAAATAAGAATGACTTTTTATATAACCAAGAAGAAGAAAGATGGGGAAGATTAAATGCACTAAACATGTTACACTTTTTCATCTCCTTGCAGAATGGAACAATGAAAGAGCTCTGTGTTGGGCTCAGACCAGTTGATGAGCAAGAACTCCGGAACTTTCCACCGAAATACAAGTAATACACTCAACTTTGTCAGAAGAATTGTGATTGGATCTCAAAGAATTGAATTAAGAAAAAAATGAAGCATCGTTACCAATCTTTTTTTTTTTAGATTCAGATCCGTTTATTTAAGCATTCATTGTCAAAACACTTTCTGTTGCTTTTGATGTGATACCAATCATATTAATGCTCCATGCAAACAAGGTGTGACACCATGTCCCAGCACACACACACACTCACACACATGCACCAGAAATGTGCTGGACTGTAGCACTGGTGCATGCTTCAGCACAGCATGTGCTAAACATCATTTTAGAAACAAAATTTGGTCTAGAGAAATTTATTGTCCAGCTACCATTACCTTCAACCATTAAACCTGTCATGCTTAAAATTCAGTCATCGCGCTGCAGTGGTCTAGTGGCTAAGGTACTGCTCGGCTGCTGACCTGCAGGTCGCGGGATCAAATCCCGGCTGCAACGGCTGCATTTCCGATGGAGGCGGAAATGATGTAGGCCCGTGTACTCAGAATTGGGTGCACGTTAAAGAACCCCAGGTGGTCGAAATTTCCGGAGCCCTTCAATACACAGCGTCTCTCATAATCATATGGTGGTTTTCGGACATTAAACCCCACATATCAAATAAATCAAAAAATTAAAATTCAGTTATCCTAGCAGTTCATGGCACCATACAACACTACACTAAGGCCTACTCACCCAGGTGATAACACAGTTGTTCTGCTTTCATGGAATGAACCACACTTGGCAATCATTTTGCACCATGAAAAGTAGTTGAATTATTAGTGTGTTATTAGGCTCATTAGTACATCTTCTTAAGTGGCAGAATTTCAACAATAGAGCACAGGACACAGAAAGGAACAACAGGACAGAGTTCTGAACGTAGAAATGAAGAACGCTTTGACACGAATTTCAACCTGATGTACTAGAAGTGCACATTAACAGTCGGTTCATCTGTACTGGTTGGTAAATCTTCTTTAAAAGCGAAACTTAAACTATGTAGCACAGGACTCTGAAAAGAACCATAGGACACTGCACTTTTGTGTTTTTTTTTCTGTGCCTATTGGCCTCGAGAACATACCGTATATACTCGTGTAAGGGCCGCCCTCGTGTAAGGGCCGCACCCCAACTTTGAAAGCGGATATTTCGAAAAAAAAAAAAACAAAAGTTCAAAATGTCCCGCCAGAAAAGTGTAGTTAGTTCATTTACAGCCAGATGGCGCTGCACGCTTTTCCGCTTTTATTCTACTTCCGCCGACGCGCCGACCACGCTGTTGACAGCGCGCCGCCATATTTGCCTTGTGCGGCCTCTTTGTTGGCATCGTTCCTAGCATCGTGTCGATACGTTGGCAGCGCGACTTCAGATCGGTGTCGTCGGTGTCACTTTGTTGGTTGTAGTGAACCCTGCAGAAGCCAGCGCACGTGACGGACGATGGGCCGGCATCTGAGATCGTTCACTGCAGCATTTAAGCTGCAAGTGATTGACTATGCCGAGGAGCACGGGAAGCGGGAAGCTGGACGAAAGTACGACGTCGATGAGAAGCGCGTGCGTTACTGGATGAATCAGAAAGATGCCCTCGCCGCTACTAACAGGAGCCGAAAGGCGTTTCGCGGGAAAAAGTGCAAGTACCCGCAACTCGAAAGCGAGCTCGTCAACTACGTCGTCGACACACGAAGGGACGGCTACGCCGTATCGACTGACATGATACGCGTCAAAGCCCTCAGCATCGCTCGCCACATGGAAATACCCCCGGCACAATTCAAGGCAAGTCGGGGCTGGGCTACGCGGTTTATGAACCGTAACCAGCTTTCTATTCGGCGCCGAACGACGATTTGCCAAAAACTGCCGCGCGAGTACGAAGACCACGTCATTAAGTTTCATCGCTTCGTGAATGCTCTCAGGAGGGAGCATGAATACGACCTGTCCCAAATTGGGAATGCGGACCAGACACCTGTGTGGTTCGATGCACCGGAAAGCACCACAGTGGATTTAAAAGGTGCGAAAAGTGTGTCTGTGCGCACGACTGGTGCAGAACGCCAAAGGTGCACTGTGATGTTGTGCATCACGGCAGACGGCAGGAGGCTTCCGCCGTACGTCGTATTTAAAAGGAAGACTCTCCCAAAAGAGAAGTTCCCTCAGGGAATCGTCGTACGTGCGCAAGAGAAGGGCTGGATGTCCGAGGAACTGGTCGTTGACTGGATTAAGACCGTCTGGGCAAACAGACCTGGAGGGCTGTTACAACGGAAAGCCCTCCTTGTTTTGGACAGCTTTAGGGGCCACTTGACCGACCGCGTCAAGAACCGAGTTGCCGCAACTCGTACGGACTTGGCCGTCATTCCCGGTGGCCTGACGAGTGTGCTGCAGCCGCTCGACGTATGCGTCAACAGACCATTCAAAGTGGAATTTCGCCGATGTTACTCTGAATGGATGGCTGGAGGCGTCCACGAGAAGACCCCTACAGGACGGCTGAAGCGGGCGTCGCTCCAACAGGTGTGTGAATGGATTTTGAATGCGTGGCGTGCCATGTCAGTAGAAGTAGTTGCTAAAAGCTTCAAGGTAACGGGAATTTCGAACTCCATGAACGGCACCGAAGATGACCGTCTCTGGGAAGACGCGGACGCCGAGGCGAGCTCCTCCGAGAACGAGGACAGCGAAATGGAATCCGAATAAAAACATTTCTGGCATGTCATTTGTGACTCTTGCACTCTGCTACTGTTGCATAAACAGTACAGACCTTTGGCCTGTACTGCCTGTACTAAATCGGCCTGATTCGTGTAAGGGCCGCACCTAGCAAAATTTTCGAAAAAAAAGTGCGGCCCTTACACGAGTATATACGGTAGCGTGGTGCCACCTATGTGGTGACGTCACTCATAAGATGCCGGGGGGTGTCGCCAGCTCGAACCATAGCCTCCTATATTTTTTTGTGCCCGCGCATTAGCGCTAAATACATACGCGCCATCCGTCCCTTATAGTTTTGGCGCTCGCCGCCAGATGCCGCACCGATCCCATAATAACAGCAGACGACGCGGCCTATGCACGCTTGCGTTTATGACGGTCTAGAAACCGTCTACATTGCATTGGATTATGCGTATACGTTAAGAAGTGCGCACACACCAAATTTTTAACACAAGCACTGTATGCAGAATGCAATGTGAGCTTTGTTATTTGATTTCGCGCTCAAAGCTTGAGCACTTTTCGAGACAATGGTTTGACATGAAAATCTTTTGCCAAGTCGTGTTTGTCAGTCACACTCGTCGCGAAGTTCAGAAAAAGTGGGCGGAGAAACTTCACGAGCACAACCTCCAAAAGTTTTTATGATGTCCCGGGGTCGAGCACTTGAGTTTGTCACGTTTCTGTAGTATTTGCGCGGCGTTGTCAACGGCAGCCTTCAGTGGCTGATTCATCTTTCTCGCTCTTGCGAGGAAAACTTCCGCGTAATTCTTTAGAGAATTTAGAACCATTACGAGCTCAGTTGACGGATACAGGAGTACACCTGGGTGGATATCTCCACATTCAATCAGAACATGCTCCGCCGTTTCCTTATCTTTCCCGCAGCATGTGCATTGTTCTTCTTCTTTACTGAATCTTGCTTTATAACTACGCGTTCTAAGGCAACCCGATCTCGCTTCAAACAGTAAAGCGCTTCCCCTTGAATTATCGTAAAATGCCTCCCTCCTTATTTCATTTTTGCCCTTTCGGTAGTTACTCAAAGCCGGTTTTTTCTCCATAGCTGCCATCCATTCTCTCGTTTTGCGCCTCGGCGCTCCGCCAGGAGCGCTCGCATCCCATAATAGCTCGGGGGACGGCGCTGAGGGACCGACCGCTCGGGCACAAAGTTATAGAGGAGGCTATGCTCGAACACAGCATTTCCTGCGCTTTTACCATCATGCGTTTTTGTTGTGTGCACCGCATGTGCTTACCCCTTGCTTTGAAACTCATTTCTCAAATAAATGGTATGAACTGATAACCCATGCAAGCAAACCACAACTCTCAGTGCTCTCAGTGTAACTTGCATGTATAGAGTCCGTACAGCTGACACAATAGAGGACGATGCAAGTGATGTCATGAAAACTAAGCTGTTACTTCATTTTGGATGACTTTCCCTGTGATAATTATCTCGATTGGGGTGAAATGGCAGAGGTTCATGCACTGTGCAATGTAGTGCAAATTAGAGAACACCAGGTGGTCAAAATTTTCGAAGCCCTCTACTACAGCATGTCTCATAATGGTATTGTGGTTTAGGAACGTAAAACCTATGATGTTATTATTATTATTACCCCGTCAGAATTCCCAGACTGCATAACATGAATGAGTGAACTTGCAACAAGGAAAATGTGCCGCCGTAACACCCAAAGCACATGCAGTGCACATGCAGAACTGTGAACAAACGTATAGGAATGGTGAGCGGAGTGAATCGTCACACATAATTAAAAGTGCTGGTGTGATCCGCGAAACAAAGGGCCCATTCACCCTCCACTGCTCTTTATAGTTCTCTGATATTATTGACGATCATCCTTGTTTTTATTACTTAGAGTAAGTGAGTGAAACAACTTAATTAGGTCCACAATATGCGTGAGGTAACGTGATGTCACATGGCTAGAACTGCGAAGTTTACTTTTCGTTTTGACTTTTGCAATGTTTTCAGCACCTTCAGTGCAATTTGTAACTGTAAAAAAATGTTTGTTTCATAAGGACCTCACCGTGAGAAATATTGGAGATGCAGGTGCCTTTTTTTTTCTGTTACTTGTTCACTTACCGTGAGCCTGTGAGTCTCCGTAGTAAAATTCATCAACAAACGCACGTGATCAGCTGCCAGGAGCACTTTTGAGCACACGTCTTGCTGTTGTTGAACATCTTAGCTGCGACGACATATGCGAAATTCTCGTCACGAAAGTGCTTTCTGCAGACCCTGACCTTAGCACTGGTACAGCTGCTATTTTTTATCCAGCGGCCATAGCATTGGTGTCACGCGTTTCTTTACTTTTGGGGTAATGATACAGGAGGATCTGTCACATACACATGCGGTGCACACGCACAACTGTCAAGGAACATGTGGGAATGGTGCGTGTAGTGCATCGCCACCCATACTTAGACGCGCTGGTTGTATCTGCAAAATAAAGGGCCGATTTTCCCTCCACTGCTCTTTTTAGCTGTGCTCCGATGTTATTGATGATCATTACTGTTCCGTTTTCTTTTAAACCACTGATATGTTTACCTTTAGTTTTAGCTTAGGTTTTGGGCAATGTATCGATGTTAGTTTTCAGCGGCTTCGATGTGAGCGTAAATGTGACAAAATGTTTCGTAAGGACGTCACCGTTAGAAATATTTAAGATGTGTGCACTTTTCTTTTTATTTATTTTGTCAACTTACAGTGACACTGTTATTCTTCAGCATCAATAAATGCCTGTGAAAAGCTGCCGGGAGCGCTTGTGAGCACTCGTCTGTTGTACATTTCTGAACATCTTAGCCGCGGCAGTGTACACAAAATCGTCGTCACAAAAGTGGACTTTGCAGACCTGTGAGTTAGCGTTGGCATCTTTTCTCAATATTGGCTTCACCAGCCAACTGTAGCGCATTTCTTTACATTGAGGAGAATAGTAAAAACTTGCAGCAGGATCTGTCTCATATGTCTGGCAGTGAGACATAGAACCATACACCAACAAGCTGAAGCTACTTGCACGCAACCAAGCACTGTTTATATGGTGATATATAAAGCTGGCCATATAAAGCTTCTTATGCAGAGAATTGAATGTGGTACACCGCGATTTCACCTGAACATCCTGTTCCACAACAAGTATGCAGCGAGGCGAGCAAGAGCATCTTGTCTGTGACGCCAAAACGATCGCAGCACTGGCCTCTCCAGAGGAGGCCCTCGTAGCCAATACCAGACTGTTCAAATTCTGCTAAAACTTATGCCCTGGGTGACTCTTTTCATGCATGCAGGCATCAACATTTATAATGTTAAAAATCAAATGTGGCTCAGTATATTTTCTTGTAATAGTTGTCATCCCAAACAAAAGCATATGGTGGGTCTGCTACAATGCCAGCATGCACTCTGTATCATGAGGAATACTGATACTACAAAATCTGCTGCTATATGCAGTTGAGCCTAGGCATTATATTCACTAAATTCTGCAGCTTAATTTTTTTACTGGTGTGTCATTGAAAGTAAACATTCGACAGAAGTCTGTCTGGTTGGGTATGAAACTGGGAGATGATTTAGACTCCAACCAAAAGTTTTGAAGAAACCCAACGTTTCGGAACCGACTTGGTTCCTTCCTCAGGGGTGACTGTGGAGGCTATGTAGCAGCGCCGTCTTCAAAGCACTTGCTAGGTGGCTCATGACCCCCCTCTTTCTCTCTCTCTCTTGTTTTTCCGTGGAGCGCAGTCCGTGTGAATACACTGGGGGAAGGGTTCCGAGGGAGCGGTGGATATTATGGGCTGTCCTCTGTATGTGCCACGACTTGACTAACAACCTTCTCCTCCAGTTCGGCTCGCTTTTAAGGATGGCCGTCGCTTCAAAATTTATTTTGTGATCCAACGTCTCAGCATGTTCGGCGACTGCACTGCGCTGTTTGCGCGGAACGCTCAGAAAAGCATATTAATTGCGGACACCTATAACGCCTAAATCTGGTTGTATCTGAAAAGAAAGCTATCTCTTCAGGCAGCATTCTTGTGGGTTTGAGGCTGAGTTAATATATACACAGCTAAAAGGAGAAAACGTCTAATCCGAGGTTAAAGATGCCAAGATGACGACATACAAACAGGGTACCACTTCTAACAATGTTTATTCTGGGGCAAAAAACGGGTGCTATTTATAGAGGTAGTGCAATCGTGTTTCTTTGCTGCACAGTTGCATTCACTTTCATATTTGATGTCGCATATCAGCAACTGCACAGTTACAGTCTTTGAAAGACATGTGGTACATATAATGTTCCAAAATAAAGCATTCAAGCTACTCTCTCAACTGCAAGCTGCTTAGCATACTTGTCAATTGAATTTTTTTTTTTCAATTGTAAAGTTTGTGTGTGCGGAAAAACTTGCTACCTAATAATTTTTTTTTATCAAAACAATAAAAGAAGATGAATAAGGGTGCATTTGTACTGACCTTCTATATGAAGAGTATGCTGGTGCTCTTACAGGTATGGAATATTCTACAGTAGTATTTTAGCAGACCCAAGAAAGTACCTGAAATGGCTGACTGACAAGTAAGTTGATTTTTGTTTCTACTGAATACTCAGAATTTTCTATCAAGCGTTACTTTACAGGATATTATACAACGGTGGGCACATAAAGAACCAAAATGTCCAGGACCTGCAAGACCTTAGGGATTTTAGTGTCATAGTCAACTGCAGTGGTCTCAGAGCGAAGGAACTTACAGAGGATCCACTGCTGACTCCTGTGAGAGGACAGGTTATCAAGGTAATGGTTATTAACAGCTCACAGTGTATTTTTGAATCAAAATTATGCCTAAGAGCAGACTTCCGAAAAAAAAATAAAGTATGCTTTCTCATACAAGGGGCTTTTTCAATATCCCTTCCTTGAAACAATGAGAAACAATAATACATTGTGCAATGAAACATTTGCACAATGTAGTCCTTGATCTTAGTCTCCTATGAAAAAGATAGTTTCATATATATTCAATGATAAAAAAGTAGGTTTCGGAAGGCTACTGCAAGTGGTACTTGAATAGATAAACCTGTCTTCAGAATAGTTAATGTAGCTATGAGAATTAATTCTAAGCTGTTTATTCTTTTTTCCTATGCAGGTATTTGCTCCCTGGGTGACTCAGTTTTATTATGCTGATGGCTGCTACATTCTTCCAGGGTAGGCATTGCACTTACTGATTACCACAACCTCTTTATGCAGAGAGAGGGCCATGAGAAAGACAGTGTACCAATTAATTTTAAGCAACTTTTCTTATCAAAGGTGCACAATGTGCAAGCACAAGAATTCTCTGTCTATGATATTACTTAAGTAATCTAAGCGGCTGTGTGCATAGGAGATAGATATTGCATAAAGTCAAGTGTTCTTGACTTGCATGCATACAAGGGATGCACAGTAATTGACATTAAGCAAATTCAAACATATGTCAAGTGTTTTGTTGGTCTGCACAGTTTCGTGTGTATTTTAAGGCTGCTTAGTCGAAATTGCATCATTTAATTAATCAGTTAATTCATGCATGCTTATCTGTGATGGAAAATATCTGCTGCCTTTGTGTTCTTATATCGCATTTGTGTTCTAATATTGCTAACAGTCGCAAATAATGCTGATGGCCTGCTTACATGTATCGAAGTGGCTAGAGTAGTCAATACTGTGTGCACCAACAATCACATGTTGATCAAGGGAGAAAAAAAAATTAGGCAACCTTAATGTCCACCTAAAGGTCTTGTATAGTGCTAGCCAGTGGCGTATGGTGAAAAGAGGAGTGCGAGAAAGGCACAAAGAGAGTGATGCCATGTTGAGAAGACTGGCATGCGGCCAAAAAAGTGCCATGAGAAGCGAAAATTACAGACCACACTATGCCAACGTCACCACGCCGCTGAGTGTGCACGTCCACCTCAAGTGTTGCAGAGGAGGTGAGGTGCACATTATGGGAATGACGTCAGCCCCTCCCTCACCCATATTAAGGTGTATAAGTCAACTATAAGTTGTGTTAACTGCTGATGTACAGGGGCAGATCCAGCCACTCATTTTAGGGGGGGGGGGGGGGCGGTCACCTAAAGTAACACTAAAGAGGGGGGAGTGGGCATGACTTTTCTGTTTTTACTCATAGAAAAACCGCTTTATAGCACAAATACTGTTAATATGTGCTTCAGTGGCTTCGACCATTTGTCCTAATTGGTGATAGGAGGTGGACTATGAGCACAGATTTGAGGGGGAGGGGCACTGACAGAGATTGGAGGAGGGCAATTGCCCCTTCTGCCCCCCCCTCTGTATCCGCCAATGCTGATGTATCATTACCTCCAATGTGCAGTTTTATAAGACTTTTAATTAATGTTAATTAACTATTCAATGTGGTTATATATCCCTACAATAATGCACTATGTACCCACCAAACGTCAATTTCTCGTGTTCATTTAGGTTGAACCAATTCGTTGGCTTCTGTAGTTTTAATTTGGACCAGTCACTATTCAATTAATTGTAATCTTTTTTATCCGGGCAGTTAACTGACCCTTTTATGTAATAAACTGATGCTTCTATATCCTATCTATTCTTTACAATCATTAACACTTACATTTTTATGTTCTTATTTCTGTTTTTTATTATGCACAACTCATCTGCTATTGCGAGTGGAATGCCTATAAATTAACTTTCGCTGCAACACATTTGTTTTATGTGGAAAAGTGCACTAAGATTTCTCAGGTAGGGATGTTTGCTCGAGATTTTCCAGTATGTGATATGTGACTGAGGGAAAAGATTAGATGGAGCCTGTTCACCTACTGATGGTTAATATTTTATTCAAATCGTGCTTTCCTTTTAGGTGCCATATTGCTGTTTTTTGTAAACTTCTACACTTTTCCCCTTCATCATAATTTTTACAGCAAAAGCTGTTATGAGATCACAACTCGAGTCCGCCGCTGCTGCCAGTGTCCGTAACCACATTGCACGAAATTAGAAAAAGAAATTTAGCACCAATGACACAGTGGGGCTCGAACTGGGTCCACTGGGTGCCAGCCCAGTATTCTGCCACTGAGCCATACCGGTGTTTGGGGCTTGTTGGCAAACTTGCCTTAGGCAAGCTTGATGTCGGGAAAGCAATCGCGTTAATACGACTTATAAAGGGTTTTAAAACCGCGAAAGAACAACCAGTCGTCGCACAATGCGAATAGCGTAATGAGTGGGTCGTCGAAAGGTCCAACCCTTTACAAAAGCTTGTTCTTGTTTCTCTATGAACTGTGGCGCATACCCACTTCATCTATAATTTCTCATCGTTGTCAGCCACTGCATCATCAATTGTCACAAAATTCCTTGCAAGTGTTCTGCGGGTACCACACTTCTAAAAAAAATGACGAAAAATAGCATATTGAATGCCGGCCTACTACCCAAAAGTATATTATTAATGCCCTAGCAGGTATCAAGCAAGTGGCCTTGTAGCAGTTACACAATTAGTGTTTAAAAAAAGGCTTTCGCTGTGACTTTGAGTGTTTAAACTGTGACTCCGAGTGTTTGACTGTGACAATGAATGTTTAAAAAAGCTTTCACTGTGACTGTGCTGTGCCTCCTGTGAAGGCCTGGCATTTTTATAATTTTATTCTTGGATTCTTGGCTTTTAAATCTGCCTTAAGGTGGCCAGTCATCACCTTTCTTACAAGCATTCTTTCATATTGTCACGTGCTACAAAAGGTCTACAACTAGGAAGAACTGAGCCGGCAGGAAGATGCACCGAAAACTGGCGAGATGGCTGCTTTAATAATCAACAACTAGCCAGAGCACGCGCTGCCCCAGAACATCGTCTTCCATTCTAGCGGGCAGCAATGGCTTACGCTTGCCGTAACTAGCGGCCAAGTGGCACTATTCTCTCCGATCTCATTCTTTATAACCGTTGAGTTAATAAATCTGATTCCTCTTCCTGTATTTATTACATCAATGCACTGTTTCATATTACCTGACATAGATGTACTGCCGCAACCTTTGTTCTTTATACATGTGATAGCAGCAAGCTTTCAACATCACTCCATGCATCAGAGCTTACAGGGTTTGATAATTCAACTTTGCTCTGTTGCAGCAGCACATAGGTGAATCAGCAGGATCAATATATTAATGTAAGTCAGTGTTAAGGGCTTTTATCTTTTCTATACCCACTTAAGCCAAAGGTCTGCTTCTACCAGCATGAATACTTATTTCGCACACGCATTGCATATGCTTGTTTGTTAATTCATGTGTGCACATGCCTGCAAAAAAACCATTCAGCCTCGTTGTGTAAGCATAAGTTGTGTTTGTTTAATTAGGTATGCACAAAATAACCATCCACACAAATTTGTGTTAATATTTTCATTTCACTGCTTCTCCTATGTGCTTCTGCAACTCAGCAAAGTTGGATTATCAAATTCTGTAAGCTGTGAGCCATGGAATAATAATGATGGTGCAACATTTGTTACAGACTGTGCATTCATGTTCAAGACAGAAGAAATACTATCCGCGCTAAAACTATTGTTCATATTATAAGGGGGTTTATTGACTAAAACCAATTGGCTGGTTTTAGGGGCGTCAGTCCCTGTCACGGGCTCAGCTCTTCGTCGTCGTCTTCTAGCGGCTTCGACTAGATACTGTCTCCCTCTCTCTTCCCCACTGCACTTGCCCCGGTAGTGAAGAGGAGCCATCCTGGTGACTCACGGCGAAGCAAGTACAAGGGGCTTATATTAAGGTTTTGAGCGGCTGATGTGGACTGTCTTACGACCATGGCATCGTCTGTCATTGGCAGGTGTCACTGGTTCTACGACGTAGTTGACCGATGATGTGCACTGAACGAAGCGGTACGGACCATTGTACTTGGGTGCAAACTTTCAGGAAAGGCCGGGGGACTGGAATGGAACCGAAAGCCATAGAAATAAGTCTACAGAGAAGCTGTGAGCAGGCTTGTCTTGGTCAAGCCGTTTTTTTTTTTTGAAGATCTTGTGCAACAGACGTAAATGAACATCCTGATTGGCAGCACTCTTCGACACACTCAAGAAGTTCTGAGGCTAGGTAGTATTCTGAAACATCTGGGCGGTAAGTAAGTATCATGTCAAGCATAGAAGAGGGCTCACGTCCATACAGTAGAAAAAAAAAAGGTTAAAACCCAGTAGTTACTTGCGAGGCTGTATTATACGCATATGTCATAAAAGGGAGCACCAAGTCCCAATTAGAATGGTCGGAGGATATGTACATAAAGAGCATATCACCAAGCGTGCGGTTAAAGCACTCTGTCAAACCGTTTGTCTGAGGGTAATAGCTCGTAGTGGTGCGATGAATAATATTGCACTCACTGAGAAGCTCATGGACATTTGTGATAGAAACGCATGCCCACGGTCGCTAAGCAGCTCGTGTGGCAGGTCATAGGGAACGACAAAGCTATGCAAGATGAACAAGGTGACATCATGAGCAGCAGCGGCTGGAAAAGCAAAGCGGCGGTTTCAGCGTAACGGGTGAGATGGTCAACGGCCACAATAATCCAGCAATTTCCAGCAGGAGTACAAGGTACTGGGCTGTAGAGGTCGATGCCGATTCTATCAAACGGCCGAGCTGGACACGGCAATAGTTGTAATTCACCAGAGGCATGACAAGTTGTTTTCCGTCGCTGACACGCAGTGCAGGAACATATGTACTTGCGAACGTACAAGTACATTCCACGTAAGAAGAATTGCTGATGAAGCTGGTTGTATGTTTTCAAAATGCTAGCGCGGGCGTTTTGAGGGTCTGCGTGGAAGTACGCGCACATGTTGGAGTGCAAATGGCGAGTTATAACAAGAAGCTATTTTTTACTATCCGGGTGATATGCGAAGGTACAACATGGCATCTCGTATCGCATAATGGGGAACTTGTCGACGTAGTACATGAGGTAGACGCTGGTGTGGTGTCACCAAAGATGAGGAGAGAACGTTGATGAGCGAGGCTTTGCACGAGTTCTTGCACTGTTCTGAAGGCGTGTCAGCGGTATCGATGTTGTTGATGGTAGCTTCGGCAGAGGAAACAGGTGCAACGGCTGAAGAAAGGGGCGAACGAGAAAGAGCCTGTGCGTCAGTATGCTTGCGGCCTGAGCGGTACATGACGTGAATATCAAATTCCTGTAAACGTAGGGCCCAACATCGAAGCCGGTCCGAAGGATCCTTCAATGAAGCGAGCCA